CTTATCTCTAAATACTTATTTACAATTAATTACCTAATACCCTTCAAATAGTGCGTGAGTATAAAGATGAATTATTAACGTTAATCAGTGGAATTAAAATCATGAACATAAATACTTATTCATAAATACTTAATACCTTTCAAATCGTTTCATTCGCATTAATTTAGTTAGTGAGTATAAAGATAATTTATTAACGTTAATCAGTAGAATTATCCTTTAATACTTATTTACAATTAATTATCTAATAACCTTCACATCATTTAATTTACATTAATTTAGTCGGTGAGTGTAACTGTAATTTTAAAAATTAACAATAGATTTAAAACAAATATTGAATATAAAAATTATATGATTACAAAGAGATGATAAACACGGTAAATGTGCACATTGTAAAGAAAATAACACTCAGCCAGCATGGTGCTTGACATGTGATCCTGACATTATAGCACAAAGATGGACAAGTAGAAACAAGGATATTGATGATTGTATTAGAGAATTTCAACTTAGAGCCTTTAATTTCGAGGATGCAATTGAATGGATTCCATTTGATAGGTTATCTGATGTTAAAGGAATTGGCAAAGGAGAATTTGGCTCCGTATACTCAGCAATTTGGTTAGATGGCATACGAAAAATCGATAGTGATAAAAAAGTACGTGAAACATCCAGTACTGTTGCACTCAAGACCCTGGCAAGTTATAAGGAAAATAATTTTGATTTTTTGAAAGAAGTAAGTTAATTTGTCACTTGTATAATTAATGATTAATTAATCTAATAGTTAGAACTAATTCATTATAAATTTATAAAAGTTTAAAAGTCTTATGATATGTAAAATAAATGGTAGTAATCTTGCAATATATGGAATAACTCAAGACACAAAAACAAATGAATACTTGCTGGTCTTTCAATATGCCAATAATGGAAATCTTTATAATTATTTAAAAAAAAATTTTAGAGAACTTACTTGGCAGACTAAATTGCAATTACTTAAAAATATTTCATCTGAGTTATGTTTTATTCACAATGCTGCAGGATACATTCATGCTGACTTTCACAGTGGTAATATTTTGCATGACCGACGCAATACTGAAAATGCACAAACTTATATCGCAGATTTGGGATTGTCTAGAAAGCAAGATGAAAATGTTTCGGAAGGTGATATTTATGGTGTCATGCCCTATGTTGCTCCTGAAGTTTTGTTAGGAAAAGAATTTACACAAGCGGCTGATATTTATGGCTTTGGTGTCATTATGGCTGAGATCTCAACTGGACAAAGGCCTTTTGATGGCTATAAATTCGATACTAACCTTGGAATAAAGATTTGTAAAGGAGAGCGACCAGAGTTTGCTCCTGGAACTCCTGATTGCTATGTTAAATTAGCTATGCAATGCATGGATTCTGATCCAAAAAAACGACCTCTTAATTATGAAGTTCATCATGAAATTAAAAATTGGCTTAAGCAAATAGAAAGTTCAGATGAAGGAAATGAAATTAAAAAGAAATTCTTGGATGCAAATGAAATCATTAAAACATTGCCAATTATCTCACCAAGCAATCCGGATCATATGTACACCAGCAAAATTATCAGCACAAGATTAATTTCAAATGCGATTAAAGAAGGTAATCTACTTTTAATTTACCGGTATACAGTATCTGATATTAATACTAAATTTTGCTTAAAAATAATATAAACTATTTTTATTTAGAATTGTCTCAAGTCGATTCTGGTTTAATTAGTCTTGATATTTCTAATACTTTATAAATTTTTGGATAAATTAAATTATAACAAATATATTTATAGAAAAATTTAATTACCTTCAATTTTCAACCTGTATAATATATGAATTAAATTACTCTTTAACCCTTAGTAATCTTTTGACTGAATTTTGTTCTGTATAATCAATACTTTGTTTGACCTGAATAATCAATCCCTAGTACACTATTTTTACACTACGAATAAAATAATATGTTTGTTGGCATTTCTCACCTAGTTGTTTGTTTTTGAATAATTGCACTACTTTCAGTCATGTATAGTAGTCGCGTAAAATTTATTTGGGATAAATTCAATCGGTGAATAACTTGCTTGGGATAATATAATGTATATTAGTATTAGTTAATAAATCGGCCAATAGTGATGATAGGAAATCTCACCACTATAGATGGGTGTCTAAATTATTTTGCTCATGGTGAAAATTAAAATGACTAAAGTTATCTAAGTCTAAACATTAAATAATTTAGAATGTCGAAAATAATTCAGGGTGTAAAAATTATTTTAGCACGTTAAATATATGTAAATATTTTAGGATGTCGAAATATAAAAAGTAATCTTAAGATTAAATAATCTAAATAACAAGATGTGCCGAAAATTATAGACTGCCTTTTTGTATAACATTGCGTACATCTAAATTTTCCAAAATTTAGGCAATAATTTCTCAACAACCACATAATGGAATTCGATGAAAAATTTTTTTATTTCAATTCTAAGAATTCGTAGCATTTAAACAAAAAAAAATTTCAACGAATTTCATTGAGTGGTTCTCGAGATATTAAGCTGCCAGATTTTTTTAAAAACTTTGATCGAAGATATTTCGAGAACCACCTAATGAAATTCGATGAATTTTTTTTATCTAATTATATGAATTCATTTAATGAAAATAAAAAAAATTATCAAATTTCTTTGAGTGGTTCTTTGAGATATCTTTAACCAAAGTTGCACCAAAATTCAAAACGTTTCAAATTAAAGCTGCGCCAAATTTTTTGATCCAAAACTGATCCGTTACTTATCAGTTTTTACGAGCAGTGTACCCAACAGTTATATCACCTAATTTTATATAGTCACAGCACCACTAAAAATTTCCGCACATATGAAAAAGACGGTACGTTAATGCAGGTCAAAGTGCCGCGCATTTTTTGTGTGGTTCCTAGATTTAATAACCCACACAATTTCTGGTTTTATTAATGACTATTAAAAAAGCAAATAGATTAATTATTAACAAAGCATGTTTAAATCTAACCCGTTGTTTAACGATAGGTCTAACATCTAGTTATACAGTATTTTTAAAATAAAATTACTAAAGATCACGTAAATACGTATTAAAAAACCCAAAGTTTTTTAGCAAGCTAAGCGATTAAAAATCAATACTATAAATTTAAATTTATGACAACATAATATTTCTTATTGACCAGCAGTATAATTTATTAGTTGACAAAAAAAAAAAAAAAAATCTTTAAATTGATCGATCATTACAATTTTTTTTATATAAAAAGTCCATTCTTTACTACGAAAAATATATGCATTGTATTTACACGTGGTATGGTACATGATTTTAAATATGAAATAAAAGTTAATCCCACATCAAAAAAAATTTTTTTGGACGGTAAAAAAAAAAGAGAATTCTCAGGATTTCTCAGGTTCTGTTATCAATAGATTATTGATATCCATCAATTCTTTATCCTTCTTTCCTAAGGCCTCATAAACTGCACCTCGTTCTTTCAAGGCGAATGAATTTGTCGGGTCTCTTAATAAAACCTTATTAAAATCATTCAAAGCATCATTATAATGTCCCAATCTAAATAAAACGGAACCTCGATTACATAAAGCTTTAGTTTCATAATCAATATTAAACGCTTTATCTTTTGTATGATTTAATGCACGTTCCAAATCTGACAATGCTTCCTTATTCATGTTCAAAGATCGGTAAATAGCACCACGTAATGATAAAGGGTATTCCCAATCAGGAAAATTTTCCAATACTTTGTTTAAATCTTGAAGTGCTTCTTTTTCTCTTTTTAATCCATGAAGTGCTTCACCTCTATAAGTCAATGCCCAAACATTTTTTGGATCTAATTCTAAAACCTTATTAGAATCAGCTAAAGCATCATTATATCTTTCCAAAAAGTTATATAAAGCACTTCTAGTTTCTAAAGCAAATACATGTTTCGGATCAATCTTTAAAGCTTTTTTCAAATCAAATAAAGCTTCATTACATCTTCTTAACATATGAAAAACAGCAGCACGATTACTAAGAGCAAAAGTACTATTTTGATTAAGAAAAATTGCATCATCAAGATCTCTTAAAGCTTCTTCATATCTTCTCAAAGTTCTATTCATAGCACCACGACTTTCTCTAGCCATTAAATTATCAGGATCAAGTCTTATAGCTTCATCTAAATCCCTTAAAGCATTTGTACCTTGTTTTAACATTCTAAAAATTTCACCACGTCTTGTAAGAGCATAAACATTTTTTGGATCTAATTCTAAAACTTTTGTAAAATCTTTTAAAGATTTATCAAAATTTCGAATTAATCTAAAAGTTTCACCACGATATTTAAATAAATCTAAATCATTAGGATTAAGATTTAAAGCAAAATTATAATCTTTTATAGCATCATTATAACGTCCAATTGTTTGATAAATTAAACCTCTAATTTTTAATAAAGAAAAATCATCAGATTTTAATTGTAAAGCAATATTTAAATGTAAAAGAGATTTTTCATAAATTTTAAATTTAAATAAAATATTTGCAATATTTTTATGAGCAGAGAAATATTTAGGATTAAGTTGTAAAATCCTTTCAAAATCTGTTAGAGCATTATTATGATTTCCCAAAGATATATATAAATTACCTCTTCTTTCTAATGTTAAAATATCATCAATAAGTAATAAAGAAGAATTTAAATCAGCAAGAGCTAAATCATTACGTCCCATTAATCTAGAAATTTCACCACGATTTGATAATATTGAAGCAGTTATCATATTATTACTTGGATCTAATTCCAAAGCAATATTTAAATCTGTTATAGCATCATGATATTTTCCAAGTAAACAATAAACTTTTGAACGTCTTATCATTGAAGAAATATTTTTTGGTTTAATTTCTAAAGCAGAATTTAAATCAATTATTGCATCATTATATCGACCAATTGCGATATAAACTTCAGCACGTGATCTTAAGGAAAAAATATTAATTTGTAATTTAAGGGACTTATTTAAATCGATTAAAGATTTTTCATACATAGATATTAATCTATATAATTCTCCTCTAAGAGAATAAGCACGAGCTTTCTTTGGTTTTTTTGATATAGCGTGATTTAAATCATCCATTGCTCTATCCCAATCTTCAATTTGATAAGAAGCGTAAGCACGATCACATCTAACAGAATAACTTTGAGGATATTTAACTAAAACTAAAGAAAATAAGTTGATAGCTTCATTAAATTGCATCTCTTCTAAAGCTTTAATAGCTTTTATATAAGCAGGAAAAGTTTTTTTCGGTTTTCCAAATATAATAAATCTTTTATATGATAATGGAGCCATTAAAGTGAAACGTCGTTTTTTAACTTGAATAACATTAGGAATAGAATTTAAAGAGTTTATTCTAATATTATTATTATTATCATAAACTAAATTCCTATTTGATGGTAAGTCATATCCGTTTGTAGTAGATATATGATCATAAGAACTATTTTCAGAATTATCAAATTGATAATTATCCATAGTGATAGGTAGAGAATGACCAGAATTATTTGAATTATTAATAAAAAAATTTTGAGGAACCTGATTTAAAGCTTGATTTGAACCGTTTATAGTTAACGAATTTTTATTAAATTTTGAAGTATTTACATACTGATTAGATTGATTATCACATGATCTACTTCGGACATGACCAGGTTTACGAACGTGAGAAGTATTCGAATAACGTCTAGCCATGGATAAAGATCTAGTAGAAACAGGAACCGGAACAGACATATGATTGTCGTAGGAAGAATTAGTTGATATGTAAATATCAGAATGAGAAGAACGAATACTTTTGTTAGGAATATTTGAAGACGAAGGGGTATTTTTTGATATAGAAATTGAATTAATAGATTTTTGATCGTCAGAGTTTAATGAGTGATGATCATCGTTTTTTAAAGGGTTGATTGTCTTTTTATCGGTACTACGGTTAAAATGGTCATATAAGGATAATTTTGGATCAATATCAAGTTTAAAAGGTTCAGAATCTATATTTAAACGATTGTTGTTTAACGGAAATTCAACCGTATTAATGTTCGTATAAAGAAATTTTCGATCATCAAGAACTCCTGGTCGAGAGTTTTCACCAGTTGTAACTGGAGTAGAATTAGATTGGTATGGTCTACTGTCAGTAAGGCTGATGGGATGAGAAGAATTGGCTTCATTATGAAGAGTGGCTTGTTGAGTTCTGACATTAACCGGATCAGTCGTAACTTCATTGTTTGAACGAACAAAATTTACGGGAGTAGGGTTATCAGTAGGGTCAGTTCTGGAACGAAATAAATCGATAGAATATGAAGAGAATATGCTCTGATTTTTAGGGTCATAATTGGACGATGCATTTTGTAAAGACAATGATAATGTTTGTGTATGCATGAGATTAGTTAATAGCTCTGGTAAAGACATCTATTTTATGAATCTTTAACTAATCATGAAAATGTATACATATGTATAATAATAATAAACTGGATAATTATGTCAAGTCTTTTATTTTACAAATATATTTATTTATACGTATATATATATAGATTTTTTTTTTCAAAAAAAAAAAAAAAAAGACAAAGCCTTCTGAAATGACGATTATGAATCTAGATATAAGAAATTTTAGGTGTTACACATAGTCACATTATTGTTTAGGACCGTTATTCAGCCCTATCCTATTATCGTTATGATTAAATCCCTACGTATGAAAATTGAAGCATCTAGCATGAGTTAGACAATTTAATTTTACCTGAATAGAAATAATTATCTGTTTCGTATCTGCTTAGCGTAGTGTTTAATACAGTAACCAATACAGCTTTCCGGAAAAGCATAAAAATATTTTATACTTAAACCGTAGTTTATTTTTGTTATTAGTTTTTGATGTTCAATACATTTTCTAAAAATAAGGTAGTGCATAACGGTAACGATTAATATTGAATGTCGGTACAGTATTATGCGGTTTCAGTTTTTTTTTTATTAGCTTAATAATAATTTTTATCAAAACTTCGGAGATAGCCTCCTATTACTGCGTAATTTACTGATTAAGAATTTCTATAAATGAAACGCATTATTTTTTTTTCTATTTTGTATTTTCTCCTTATATATAATTAAATTTATTATTCAGACTGATTTAATTCCTTCGATTAAATGTATCAAATATATTCAAACACGTTTCCGTACTACACTAACTAAATTAATCCATTTTTTAAATAAAAGTTCGTTTAGCGATGAAATTGTAAATGATCTAAAATGACTTGATTTTTAACGTGGCCTAACCTTGGAATAAAGATTTGTAGAGGAGAGCGACCAGAGTTTGCTCCTGGAACTCCTGATTGCTATGTTAAATTAGCTATGCAATGTATGG